TATTAATATACCATTGCTTACAGCGCCACATACAGGTGTGGCAGATGTATTACATTGTTTTCACTCTGTGCTCCGTTGTGTGGACGTGAATATTTACTGATCCGACGTGTGTGGACGCAAATTCTTTTCAGCGTGTAAAAAATTAATAAATAAATCCAGGAGCGTTGTCATGTGGCCATAGCCTAAGACACTTTAAAACACTGCACTTTGATCACACACAGCACTTTAAACATATTTGCACATATTACAAAAAGACATTGCACATAACTGGTTTTAAATATGATTAGTCTTTCTTTTTACCACTTTTAATCCTGAGTCACAGCTGCACTTTAACTGAAAGCTGCAGGTCCCAGGAGGAAAAGGGAGATTAACCACTTTCCTTTATAAATTGAATTAGTGCAATATATTTATGGTGCAATATCTGTTTTTGAAGTGTTGATGTGTTGATGTGTGTGGTTGTGTATTTTATGGAGTTTTAACAAATGGTGTGGTTCTGCTTTTTACTCACCTCATGTTATCTTCTGTCCAGGTCCCAAAAGAGTCCCCCTGGAAACGAGCTCCCTCTTGTAAGGTTCCGGGCAGGACCAACTATATTATATTTTACAGGGGCACAGTGTTGAGAAGGTGACTTTTAAAATGTAATCCCCTACAGATTACAGATTACACACCCCAAAATGTAGTTTGTAACGTAATCCATTAAATTACTTAAAGTGAGTAATCTGAATACTTTGGATTACTTGATTTGCTGTAGAGAAGCAAAGACCAAGATATTTTCACGTAAGATGTTTTGTCTGATAAAAAACAATAAAAAGACCAGACTTTACTGAACCAAATTAAAAATATTATTGATAGAAGACGAGGAGACACGTCCACACAGCAGGATTTAGTCCCGTTAAATCCTGTTTTAGACCTGGTTTAGTCCTGGTTTAGACTTGGTTTAGACCTGGTTTGGACCTGCTTTAGTCCTGGTTTAGACCTGCTTTTAGACCTGGTTTAGACTTGGTTTAGACCTGGTTTGAACCTGGTTTAGTCCTTGTTTAGACCTGGTTTTAATCCTGGTTTAGTCCTGGTTTAGACCTGGTTTTAATCCTGGTTTATTCCTGGTTTAGACCTGGTTTTAGACCTGGTTTTAATCCTGGTTTATTCCTGGTTTAGACCTGGTTTTAGACCTGGTTTAGACCTGGTTTTTAGTTCTGGTTTAGTCCTGGTTTAGACCTGGTTTAGTCCTGGTTTAGACCTGGTTTAGTCCTGGTTTAGACCTGGTTTTAATCCTGGTTTATTCCTGGTTTAGACCTGGTTTTTAGTCCTGGTTTAGACCTGGTTTAGACCTGGTTTAGTGTCCAGCAATGAGTGGAATTACTGAGAAAAAAAAAGAAAAGAAAAAGGAAAATAGCCCAAAATGTGAAAACAGTAAAATACCTCTATGTAATCCATTTATTTCAACAAAGTAACTGTAATCCAATTACCACTCACTGAAACAGTAACTGTAACTGAATACAGTTACTCATAATTTGTACTCTGATTACGTAACTTCAGTACATGTAATCTGTTACTCCCCAACACTGCAGGGGCAGTAGGTTTGTTTTATTGGTTTAGGAGTTTTAAAGTTTCATTGGTGTAATGGTTTCAGTGTTTTTATCAATATAGTTGGGATTTTAATTGTTATTTGGGTTAATTTTATGGAGATCAAAATTTTAAGATAATGATAATTTTACCATCCCTGTTTTAGCTGTAGTAGTTTAATCCAAAATAAAAGGTACCGCTCTACATCATTCTTTGTTCTGCTGCTGGAGAAGAAACTGCTGCCTGCCTCCATTTTGCACCCTGCACTTTTTGTAATGATTGAAAACAAAAAAAAAAGGAAACTGTGGACCACTGCTTCACGTCTTTGTCTGGATTTTTTAAACCGTACTCACTGAACCCCAACCCGCTCACGGTCAAACTACGTCACGAGGAACAAAGCCGTCCCTGGTTCATGAAGCTGGAGGTCCTGGTGCAGAGGGAGTGTGGGGTCCACAGTGACAGACTCGGCCTTCTGCAGTAGAAGTGCAGCTCTGACATGAAATCAATGCACTTTCTTTTCTATTCCCATGTGGTCTTATATGTGTGTAATCCTCAGTGGTGCAGGTAGGTTCCATAATGCTCCATGGGCGTATAGCACTTTTAGTATCGATTAGTATCTGATTTTTTACACTTCTGACAACCCTTCTCTTCTTCAAAGTCCTGTTAGATAAAGTTAAATATGTGCTGTCGTTGTATGTAAAGGTGTCCTCTGCATTTGACTCAATACCTCTCAAACGTAATAGCTACGACCTCTTCCAAACCTTTTAAGACACATTCAGAAAACAGTTTGCAACTTCATGATGGAAAAACAGAAACTAGAAATCTTAGAGTGCTGCTAGACAAATCTGTGTTTTTGGACGGTCACTGCAATGTTTTGTTTTTTTTTTTGTTTTTTTTTTAAGTCTTTTTTTTTTATCAGCTACAGAACATCACTAAATTGAAACCAATTTTATTAAATGCTGACCTTGAAATGACTGCTCACTCTTTTATTTAATCTCATTTACATTTTTGTAATTCTCTCTTAAGGTTTTTAACAGGAGCAAACAGGCAAAGACACATCACACCAATTTTATCTTCTCTGGACTGTTTCATGTTGATTTGAAAATCTTGTTTTTTACTTACAGAGCTTTAAATGAACAGGTGCCCCAGTACATCAGGGACTTACTGCGCCCCTACACCTCAGGTCACACCCTCTGGTCCTCAGGTCAGGGCTTCCTGATGATCCCAAAGACCCCATTTAAAACTCGAGGGGACGTGTGCTTTCAGGCTGTGGCCCCCACATTATGGAATAATGGAGACTATAGACTCTTTTAAAAAGCAGCTTAAAGCACACTGCCTCTTCCTCTGTTCTTGTTCATGTTGTTCATTGGACTGTAAAGCACTTTTATAAGTGCTCATAAATAAAGACTTACATCAGGAGTGTCAAACTCCAATTCACAGAGGGCCAAAGTTTAAAAAAAAGTTACTAAATCTTGGGCCAAACTGAATATTTATTGAAAAATTTCAACATCTGCAAGTGTTTTAGTTTTTTATTCGAGATCTGTAATCTTAAACCTTTTCTTATTAAAACAAATGTTTAATAATAGTTTTGCTTAAACGTTGAATCCAGAACAAGCACAATATAAAATAATAACAACATTTTAAATAAATAATGTCTCTACAGTTTATCTGTAGCCTGGAGGGCAGCTCTAATATTTGACATGATCTTAAGGGCCAAATAGAGTTGGACATGTCTGGTTTACATACTTATTTACTTATATATAATGATACATATGATATGATTTTCTAGGTGAAAATAATGGCTGCTTTTGGAAAATATAAACCTATAAACTTCACCTCTGTTTCCAATGAAGCATTTAGGTGCTGGAGTTCCCTCTGCTGTCAGTAACAAGAACAAGAACAAGAAATCCTTATCCTCCATGAATACTATTCTAATACAGCAGAGCTGTGTGTGTACACAGTTCGACCACAGGATTCTGCTGATGATACACGCACAGAACAAGTCTGGAGTTTTATCTATGATGCAACAAAAGGGGCAAAATGCAAACAGAACAATTTTGAGGCTCACAGAAGATAACTTTGGATTTAGGGATTAAAAACCTTCATGCTCTCCTCGGGGTCACATTGACCCGAAGAAATTATTATTTTTTCCTTCCCGCTCTCTTGGGGAGGGTCAATCAGAACCAAAAATTTATTTTCTCACGTGGCGAGAATTTATTTGAAAATACATTTTTGGGTCTGATTGACCTGCCCCAAGAGAGCGGGAAGGAAAAGAAAGTTTTTCTTCAGGTCAATGTGACCCCGAGGAGAGCATGAGGGTTTTAATGAAACAAGTATGGACAGAGCAAAAATACAAGTGCAGGTATGATTTTGATGAGGAGAGAACATTATAACACGGTTAAAAGGTTAATAAAGTCAATTTAGCATAATCGGTGTCCTTTAAAACTGCAAAAACAATAGAATTTTCAGATTTTTGACCTTTCTATCCTGAAGTGTGCTGTCATATAAATGCTGTTAATGGCGTTAGCTGTGGTCGTCCGCGACAGGCAGCAGTGAATAATCAGATTCTCCTGTCAAAGCTGGGATAGGTCACATGACATTGACAAACGGTTTAGCTGAACACGTCAGGGCTTAAAATGGAGGACAGGTCAGAACTGTGTGAAAATGCAGATTTGTTGACCTGGTTCTTGGTCCATATCTGTGTAATTACTGAGTCTCAAAATGGCAGCGTGTAACAGGAAACTGAAACCCATGAATACTTTAAAACCGAGCCGGAGACAGAGCAGAATTGTCAGGTGGAGTTTGTTGTGTAACTGTCAGATTGCAGATTCGTTGACCTGGTTTATGGTTCGTATCTCTGTAATTACCGGGCCTATCCACACGAAACAAAAACTGTCACAAAGTTCAACGTCTGTCAGTAGAAATAAAGTGTTAATTACTGTTTTCAACGTAATGTCAAAACCTAATGTCATTTTCAATTAAGAAGACGTCATTGTTGGCAGTTTAAAGGACTTTAAGATACAAGATTTACATAAACACCGTACACAATCCCTGATAACAATAAAAAAATAAAATAAAATAAAAATTATGAGGTTCAACAACTGTTCTTTGACGTTGTGTTTTTCATGCTCCAGACACTTGACGTGACTGTCAGTGCAGAGTGATTAGAACGTATCAAACTTTATCTTTTAATTAAGCAAATCAAGTCGTTACAACCGTGTCATGGACGACACAACAGGGTCACTTATCACACTGACAACACTGATACTGACAACACTGACACTGACAACACTGATACTGACAACACTGATACTGACAACACTGATACTGACAACACTGATACTGACAACACTGATACTGACAACACTGACACTGACAACACTGATACTTACAACACTGATACTGACAACACTGATACTTATGTGGCAACCGAGGGGTTAACGCTCCGGGAATTGTTTAAGTGTGATAATATGTTGCTGCAACAACGCCACCCCAAATCTAGTTTGGGGAAATTAAGTAAATGTAAGGCACACAGGTAAGTATATCATAGAGGGAGAGGGAGCCAGGTTCCATCAATTACACAATCTTTATTGATTTTTCTGTTGTTTTAAAAGACAGATTTAAATGCTAAAAGTAGCTACATTCATAAAAATAGGCAACCAGTAAAACACTACAGTGGGTGAACAGGTACACAATATTGAAATTGCAAAACAAAACCCCAAAACCCAAAGCAAAACTGAAACAAAGCAAACAGAACCCAACAAACAAAACAGAGCAAAACGAAATAAAACTAAAAGTGAAACAAAATAAAACTAAAAGCAAAACAAAATAAAACTAAAAGCAAAACAGCAGAGGTGGTGTCCTCACGCCGCTGCAGGCCCCCGCCGACACCTGAAAAGTTAAATTTTGGGATTAAACTCAGCGCCTGCAGCGTAAGGATCTGGGCCAAACATACCGTGGTTGAGTGTGACAGTGCGCAATCCCCAGGCTGAATGCGACTACACAGAATAACACCGTCCAGACGTGGTCCAAACACGTGGACCGGCACACGCTACAAACAGACAATTTTGAGAATTGTTTGGCACAGGTAGCACGTGGGAATAGGGTCTTGGTTACCTGCCGCCGCGGTTTACGGGACACGGCGGCGCACAGCCAAGCGCAATGGGGAGGGATTCACTCGTCTTACCCGTGGAGCTACCGAGAGACACCGGTTAAAGTATGGGCACGGATGAATGAGTGGAGGAGTACCGGGCGTGCATTACCTTGGTCAGAGGAGATGAAAGCGCGCCCTAGGTGCTCCGCGACTCGGAGGAGCGAGGGACTGATGCGGTGCAGAGCACCGGCCAAGCAGTGGCCAAGCAGCGGCACTAAAAAGAGACGTGGATGGAAATTTAGATATAACGGCCATGGAAGTTACACAGTGAAGTTACCTGAGCGGGAGGACAGAGCGGCCACAAGGAGAGGCCCGGAAGAGCGTGTGAGCCAAAAGGGGGAACGACTGAGAAGGGAGCGCTTAAATAGCCCACCAGCGCAGCGCCACGGAACGCCAGGTAAGAGCACCTGCAGCCTAGACCCTCAAAGCCGGTCATGCCACATTCTACCCCCCCGGTTTGCATCGTCGACCCGACGATGAAGAGATGCATCTTAGCACCACGGTCTAAACACTACATAGGTGGCCCTAGATGACGATTCGGCCACATCAACTCCCCTAGACGGCTGTCCAGCTATGGACCTTGGGAGATGATGGGGATTCTGGTGTTGGCCAGCTGTTGACCGAGTAGATCTGCGCACAGTGACCTGATCGGGATAGCGAGTTGCTGGCTCAGGTGCAGACGGTGCCTGGCCCGCCAAAGGAGCAAGAAGAGCCGCTGATGGTTCTGGAGCCCTAGAAACTTGCGATAAAGAGGCCTGAGAGGGTGGGGGCGGCACCGCTACTGCAGGGAGCAAGGCTGCTGGCGGTGAGGCAGACACCTGCACAAATAAGTCATCCTCAAAGGACAGTTCGTCGTCCGGCACTGGAGCTGAAGGTGCAACAGGAGGACTCACGACCGGTAGGGGAGCCGGAGAGTCACTATTACGCAAGGGCTTCAAGCAAGGACCGGTGTATTCTTTTCACTTTGGTCTGCTGATCCACTGGAGCCACAGTGTATACAACACCACCTTCTCTTGGGGCTTGAAGCACTACATGGGTGACTGGGCCCCACAGATCTTGGGTCTTTCGACGACCCTTGGCACTGTGGTCGCGAAGTAGCACCAGTTGGCCTTCCTTAAGTACCACCTCTCTTACGTTCTGGTCATGATTTGCCTTTCTGCGTGCAGCAGCTATGCGCAGTCTCTCCCTGGCACCATCAAAGGCCACCTGAAGGCGTGCCTGGTGCTCCTGCACCCACTCGTGCACAGTTCCCCCCACAGGTTCTGGCACCCGACTGAGTAGGAAGTCGATCGGCAGTCGCGGCTCCTGCCCAAACATCAAAAAGAAGGGCGACTCGCCTGTAGACTGATGTGGAGTGGTGTTGTAGGCGTACAGCACCTGAGGCAGGCAAGAACTCCAGTCTCTCTTACGGGATGTAGGCAGCGCACGCAACATGTTTGTGCAGCGTGCGGTTGAAGCGTTCGCACTGCCCATTACCTGCTGGGTGGTATGGGGTAGTGCGAGACTTGATGATCCCGTACAAGCTGCACAACTGCTGAATGAGTTTACTTTCAAAGTTCCGGCCCTGGTCGGAGTGGATGCGAGCCGGCACACCAAACTTTGCAAACCACTCCGTAACCAGGACCTGCGCCACTGTAGAGGCGAGCTGGTTGCGGGTTGGGACGGCCAAGGTGTATTTGCTAAAAACATCGGTCATTATCAGCACATTCTCCAGACCATCAGGAGTTGGCTCCAGTAGTGTAAAGTCCACTGCAACAATCTCATTCGGCTGCGAAGCCAGTAAGTGGCTCATGAACGCGTGCGCAACAGGTTGATTGTCCTTTGCATGCTGACATCTCTCGCAAGCCTGGCACCATTGGGCTACCTCACGGGACATACCAGGCCAATAGCACCTGGAACGCAACAGGGCTAAAGTCCTTTCTATACCTTGGTGTCCATGCTCCTGATGGACTTGGGTGAGGGCATCCTGAACAAGGGCTCTGGGCAGAAGAAGTTGATACACAGCCCCACCACCATCAGGACGAAACACCTGCCGATACAGCAGCCCCTCTAACTCAACCAAGCGGTCCCACTGGGCCAGCACTAAAAGGGCAGCGGAAGAAAGGGCTCGTCGCTCTATACGAGTGGGCTGTCGATTCTGTTGCCAGAAGGTCAGGATCTCCTGAAGGGTGGGGTCAGACTGCTGAAGCTCCCGGAGGTCAGCAGGGGCAACATAAGGGGAGGACAGTCACCACAGACTGTGTTGCCCGTGTAGCTACTCCTTGCAAAGCTTGCTGCCACTGCTCAGGCAAGCACGTGCCCAAGGCCCTGGATGCAGATACCTGTGAAGTGGTGCCAGGCTGACGAGACAAAGCGTCAGCGTTTTTATTACACTTACCTGAACGGTACTTCAACTCAAAATCAAACGAAGCTAACTGGGCGGCCCAACGCTGCTCAACAGCTCCCAGTTTGGCAGACGCAAGATGGCTCAGGGGGTTGTTTTGTCAGTATAGACCATGCATCTATGGCCTAGGAGATACTCCCTGAACTTCTCAGTCATAGCCCACTTAAGGCCCAGCAACTCAAGCTTCATAGAGCTGTAGTTGGACATATTACGCTCAGTCGGACTCAGCCCTCGACTGGCGTAGGCAATAGGCCGCACCTTCCCTTCCTGCTCCTGGGAGAGCACTGCCCCCAATCCAGCATGACTTGCATCAACCTCCAAAATGAATGGGAGGGAGAAGTCAGCGTAGGCAAGTACCGGAGCCATGGTGAGCTTGGCTTTTAGAGCCTCAAAGCTCTGCTGACATTCTGGGGTCCAGGGTCCAGCATCACTCCGGACGGGCCTTTTCCTGGACTTCCTACCAGTCAGTTCAGCAACTCTGCGATGTAGGGGAGCAGCCAGTTTGGCGAAACCCTCGACAAAACGTCGGTAGTAGCTGGCGAATCCAAGGAAGGAACGGAGTTCCGTAGCCGTGGATGGTGTAGGCCAGTTAACTACTACTTCAATTTTGCTGGGGTCCGTGGCAACTCCCTGATCGGAGATCACATGACCCAGGTAGTGCACCTCCCGCTGGAAGAAACGGCACTTGCTCAGTTTAGCCTTGAGCCCTTCTTTCTGCGACCTCCCAGCACCCACGCCCAGCCTCTCCAGATGTTGCTGTACCGTGGACGAAAATATAACAATATCATCCAGGTAAAGAAGGAGCGACTGGCATTGCTGGTCCCCAAAGACACGTTGCATCAACCGTTGGAAGGTGCTGGGGGCGTTGCAGAGCCCAAAAGGCATACGATTCCACTCAAACAAACCGAAGGGCGTACAGAAAGCTGTTTTGTGCGCGGTCACTCTCTGCAACAGGGACTTGGTTATACCCGCTGGCCAGGTCCATAGTGGAAAACCAGCGGGCCCCTGTCAAAGCATCGAGTGACTCTTCGATTCGTGGTAGCGGAAAAGCATCCTTTCGGGTCTTCAGATTGAGTTGACGGTAGTCAACGCACAGACGAATGCTGCATCCTTTTTCCGGACTAAGACAATAGGTGAAGCATATGGGCTGGAGCTCTCTAATAATTTGTGCTTTCAAGAGCTGATTGATATCCTTTCACCACTCATATTCCGATGGAGGAATGCGGCGGTATCGCTGCCGGACCGGGACATCTCAGTAGGGGATGTCGTGAGTGATCAGGTTGGTACAACCCAAATCCTGATCTTTGCAGCAAACACAGAGGTGTACTTTCCTAAGCAGTGACCGCACCTTCACCTGTTCTTCAGGGGACAGGAAGGAAGGTCAATTTTCTGCAACAGGTCGCAGCTGGAGCAGCAGCAGTTTGTGAGGAGACACTCGCACCACTGGGGGAACCTCTGTCACCCCTGCTGGAAGGCTCACCACTGTGAATTGTCCAGTGTCCTACTAGGGTACGAGGATAAAGCAGCAGTCATTGTCACCAACATTGACAATTGGAACATAGCGGTACCTGACCACCTGAACAAGGCTGGTGATGCCAACAAACTGCTGGCAGACAGCTCCGGGGTTCAAACAATGCTGTGGTACTGGAGTAACGTCAGAACAGGTAGCAGCAACGATCTTCATAGCACCCTGGGAACTCGAACGGCCCTCCTTCCTGCACCTTAACTTACTGGCTGTTTGGGGAAGGCTGCAGTCCGCAGCATGACATTTTGGAGGGCGTCTCCCAACTGAGCAGGGGATGCTACCACGGGATCGGTGTTGAACAGAGACGATCCAAACTGTCCAAATAACTCCTGGTAGCATTTCCTAAGAATGTTCATTCCCAGCACTCCAGGGATTGGTGGGGAAACATTCCTGGGGGGTCCCTAACTATTAAACACCACAGTGGGGCATCACTTTACCGCAGAGCTCAACAGTTAACTCTAAATAGCCGATGTGGGGATTTCAAGTCCATTGGCTGCTCTGAGCTGGAGCAATGACAAGCTTTAAGCGTTTCTCCCCCAGGGTCAAAATACTGCCGAAGAACCCTTCGGTCACAGTAGACACCATAGATCCTGTATCACTAGGCATGGCACAGTTGTTCCAGCCATATTCACATCGTATTGGGCAGGAACGCAATCAACTTGGGTGCATTGCCAAACCCTTAAACACACTAGTTGAGCCTGTGGATGCCCACCCGCGCTTTGGCTCTGCAGCACGGTGGGCGCTAGTTTTCCGCCTGGGGACCGAACTGGCGCTGTGTGGGTCGGTTTTCCCATTGACTAGGGACCGAAGCCCATCACAATGTCGGGCGATATGGCCAGGCTGCTGGCAACGATTGCACACAATGGGGCCCCGACGCGGTGAGCGACTAACGCTGTGGACCGGCCTGCGCAGCCTGTACAGGGCGATACTCTTGGTCAGCAGATCAATTTGTTCCTGCTGCTTTTTCAGAAGCTCTTTCACTTCACTTACCTCAGTCGGGGTGTGGCGAGTGGTCGGTGATGGTTCCCCATGCACGGCGTATTGAAGGCCAAAGGCCTGCAGGCACTGAATTACTACGCCCCGCGCATGCCAGCCGGCAGACCTCGCGCTCCATCTCATCGCCTCCCCCTGACCACAAGCAAGGTTGCGGTGGGATCCTGGCGTACAATTGTTTTAAAAGTGCGCCGCAATGAACCATCCAGTACATGTTCAATAAACTGATCGCGCACAAGGACTCTGCATTCGACAAAGGCGCGGGAGCACATGCTTTAACTTTGTCCATAAGGCTCAGCAGGGCAAGAGAGAACTCCTGTAATGTCTCTCCCTTCTTGTTGCTTCCGAGAAAGAATTGTTCCTGCAAGGCACATATGATTCGGAGCACCCATACAACTCCGAAGGATAGAGATTATTTCATCTGGGTCGCTTCGTTCCTCCTCGGAGCGGAATTTGATCTCATTACGGGCCTCACCTTCCAGATGGTCGTACAAAAAGAATGCCTGATCTGCCCGTGACAGGTGTCGCGCCCTCATGCAAGCCCGAACCTCCTCCACCCATTCACCCAAGCCGATGCCAGTGTGCCCCCTAAACATCGGACATCTCCTATCACGAGGTATAAATACTAACCTATCTGGCGGAGGAGTAGGTTGAGCTGTGGGTGCAGTAGAAGGACCTGCACCAGAACTTGAGGTTGCCTGCGCTGAACGCAACCTGTCATTATCCGCAGTCAGCTGAGCTATTTGGTTCCCTGAGGTTCGCTAGCTTCTCCTCCATTGGGACGCGCAAGCGTAGCCAAAACCTAACAAAAAAAGGAAGGTCCCACACACCACCCACT